TTTTTCAGTGGACTGATGGCCCTCCTCCTGTCCAGATCCAAGCCCAGAACGGCCCGACCACCAGCCTCGCAAGCCTGCTATGAGGAGCCTCATGTTCCGCATATGACTGTAGCTGGTAATTTATCACAAGCAGCAAACTGATGCCTAACAACCTGCTATCCAGACCACTGTAGCTTGAAAGGATTTTAACAGGTGACAGTTGGGCCTCCACTTTATTAGTTTCTCAAGGTTTCTTCCTGATTGTCTGCTATTGCATTTTTAAACATTGTAAAACAATTACAACTGCTGTTGTACATGTATTTCACGCTCTCTGATGGTATGGACACTCGCGGTGGGGCACAAGGACAGGGTTGGACTCTTGACTGGAGGAGTGAAGGACACATGGCAATGTATAAAAAGGGTTGTTTGCCTCAGATATAAAGAACCCTTTGCTACGTTTGCCAGGATTCTTTTCCATTTGTTGGAAAAAACAAGGGGTTAGATGGGGGGAGGGGGAGAGGGCAGTAAAGAAATGTAGAAGAAATTAATTTATTCATGTTGCTATTTTTGTAACTGTTGGTAAATATTTTACATCTTGCCTTTTTTGTATGGATGCTCTTTTTTCATGCATGGAAGTTACTGATGTGGACTCTCTGTACAATAGTTTCTGACCTGGGTTGCTAACAATGAATTCTTGGTAGATAATTTTTTTGCACAAAATCCATAGTAGAAAAAAAACAAACAAAAAACAAAATAGAGACTTCTTGTAATTTATTTTCACAGAATAATAATTTGAAATGTTTCGTTCTACAAATTGGCAGTGTACATTGTTTTTTTTTGGATAGTGCTCAATCCACTGTGTGCAGAAGACGCCTCTGTTAAGAAATGTTTAAACACTTCTGGAATTTCTATGATTTGGTGGATGTGGGGGTTGCCACGTACCCTTTATAAACTCACATTTAACTGATTATATTTTTTGAGGTTCCGTAATATATGAATTCCTCTTGATGTATTACTTTTTACAAATCATGTTTAGACTTTCGGAGGCTTTCAATAATCTTCAGACATCGGGATGAAAAAAACAAAACAAAAAAGAATTTATTTTATTTTGTTATATTTTAATTTGTCTTGATAGTTCTACTAAATGGTTTCCTCACAGTATGTTTGTATAGATTTGCCACTCGTTGAACCTTTATTGTACAGTGACATTTTATAAAGTCAATTTAGTAAAGTGTGATATGTATTATTTTAGCTATCCTATGTAGGTATCTCTACGCTTGGTATTTAAAGCACTCTGTAAGGACACAGTTGCAGCTTGAGTACTAGCCATATTCTATCCAATGCCTATGTTTTTAATTCTTACATTGTTTTCAATAATTTTCCAATAAAAATACAATTGAAATTTTGTAATTTACTGATTTATCTCTTATTACATCCTCCGGCCTGTATTCATTGGAGAAATGCTCAATTAATCACAGCGACTAGACGTGCACTTTCTTAATTATCAAGCCTGCGAATACAATGAAGCCAAACTGACATTTCATTCCAGTCACGCCCTCGCGAAATGGCGACTACAGCAAAATAACAGGGTGGAAAAAAACTCTGAGAATACCAGTAGCTGTGTTGTAAAATTGATTCCCTGCGACCGTGAGTCAGTTAAGCACGATTTGTAAGTAGCCTCTAGGTGGTGCTAGACTTCTCAATCTGCTACATTTGCAACTTCATTCTTAAATGTATGCTCTCAATTAAATTTTAGGGTTCAGTTGTAATATACTTTGTGCATTTGCATTATATTTCTTGCATAAAATGGATTTTAAAGCCAAATATAAGGTGGTTTAAATTGATTATTTAATACATTTCGACATTAATTTACCAACTGATGCATTTGTCCTTATGGGATACCACAGTAAAAAAAATGATGCAGGATGAACATTACCTACTTATATTTGCATTTGGAATATTAGTAATATTTGACTTGTATAAACAGATTTGCTCCATAAAAGAGGGGATCTAAATGCAGTAGATCGGTAAAACTGGTTTAAAATTCATTTTTATTGAACAAGCTGGTTGATCCTGCTGGAATATCTGTGCCTTTAGGATCTGATGATGTCTATTTTGTGGCTCCTGTATCTAAGATAACTCAACCTATTCCCAAAGCATCTGAAATAAACTTCCCACATCACTTTTTTTTTTTTCATGTCATACAGAACTAGTGGTCAAGTCACTTTATTCTCACTGGAAAAGCTTTTCTTTGGAGCCCTCAGAAAAAAAACACCTTTAACAAGCAATTTGAGGTCTGTGTGGAGCAGTAAACTATGTCTGCTCTTATCCCTTTGTGTGTCCTCCGGGGTTAATGCTGCACAAATTCAAAGCATGGCACCGACCTGGTGCATGTCGCTGTCCGAGTGGCAGGGCCCTTTGTGCCTACATCAATTTCTGCACCTGTTCTGTGAGTTCATGCAAAAGGTGCTTGCTCCCCTGCCTCTTTTGTTGCATGTAGCGGACCCCACAGAGCAATTGGAATCGGGGGAAAAAACTTTTGAACACTCCTTCAGAAGCAACAGATGGCTTATCTCCCTGCCTTGAACCTCTACAAGGTCTCCGTGGGTGGTAAACTGACATTCTGAGGTGATTATTATCAAGTCAGCCTGAACAGGTCTGTAACAACAAAGGGGGAGCCACAGAAATTCCCACAACAGCACTAAAGTGCCAATAGAAGTGGCCCAGATAGTCGAGCTTTGTCACATGATGTGTTTGTGTTCCTCGGTGTACTTCAGGAGCTGGCTGAGCAGTCTTACCCTGAGGACACAGTGTGCCGCAGAAATGGACAGACATTGTAAGGAAGCTGGCAGCGGCTACCTGTTGTAGTTGGTACACTGGATGCATACAGAAAGTTTGGCACTCCTGTCCCTATTGATTGAGCCACCACGGGGTCCTCTGTGGTCTGAGGAAGACCCTGAGGGGACGGTGGCGGGGCAGATCCACTGTGATGTTTATGTAGACCGTGTGACGCACGTATCTGTTCAGATACGCACATTTGATGGCTCCAGTCTGGAAACAAAGATGTTGTTTCATGTCAGTTTGGAGCCTTGGTACACATTGACAACGAGGAAAGAAGCAAATTGAAGCAGGACACGTGTACATCAACATTCAGTCCTGAGAATGCACAAATGCTACAACACTTGCATGTCACATAACTCACTACAATGATACATATATGAATAAATCAGAGTTTTGTCATATAAGCAAATGCCAGAAAATGTAATAAAAACTGTGACTAAGCCAGAACACAGGAAAAAAAACCCACTTGCGACCACATAATCAGTAATAAAAAGTAAAACATAAAACAAACACTAGTAATTAACGAGCATTTTTGCTGTTGATTTATCTTGATTATTTTCTCGTTTAACTGATTAGTTGTTTGTTCTACAGAATGCCAGAAAGGTGTAAACGATGCCGATCATCGTTTCCTAAAGTTCAAAATGACGCCCTCGACTCAGAGATGTTCAGTTTACTGTCATACTGGAGTAAAAGAAAAAACAGAAGATAATCAGATTTGAGAAGCTACAATCACACCATTTATACATTTAAAGAAAAAAGGTATTCAACTGATTATCAAAATAGTTAATTTATTAGTAATAAACTAATTAATGAGCTCTAACAGACTTTTTGTTGTTTGTGTATACTGTGTCTAAGTAAAGAGTGGAAAAGCTGTAAGTAGTAGAATGTTACCGAATGTCAAAAAGTGGTTTGGTATTCGTGTTTATTATATCATGTTCTTATATTTGGCATACAACATGTAAACAAACTAACAGGAAATGTCTGCCTGAAGCAAACACCGGATGTCACTCAAGAATTTAAATATAGTTCAGTTCAGCTGTTGTTGGGCCTGACTGTCTGGGGTTATAGCTCCCAGTGGTTTATCAGTAGTCACATATCTGTTTGTTTATTTATTAGAAAGTAAGAATATTTAAAAAAAAAAGATTTGGACTAGTCATCTGTCATTCTGATCATCACATGCCTTTATTGTCTTTGCATGTTTGTGTTAAAGCCCTAGAAAATACAATGATATAGTTGTTTAAGTGACTGTAAAGGTCTGATCTGTTTAAATACTTTTCTGTCATGTCAGGTGATTCATGATGGAGATTGTTCCGTGTCAGTCTTACAGCAGGACATTTGCAGAGAACTATATATAGAATGTGTTCTCTCTAATCGGTGAAGTAACTAACAAGATATGACAACAGGTAGCCGAGCAGCAATGAAAACACATTTTATTGTTTTATGGTAAGCTGCTGTAGGTTGATGAGCTATCATTAAGCAAGAGACTGAATTTTCTGTGCTTTTTTTTTTTGGTCAGCAACACAGACATCAGATTTGGTCTGATTATTATTTGTTAGTGTATTATTTAATGGGACTTTCTGGTTGAACTTTTTACTCTCATCTGCACCTGCAGCGCTTTTCCTGGACTATTTACAGAGTTAGTCCCCTAAATTAAAAAAAAAAAAGTGTGTTCAAGATGCACCTTTCCATATGATGAGCTCTTTAAATCATGATAAGATGAATTCTAAGACACAGTTTGAGCGACACTGATTTAGCAGCCTGCGCTCACTGTGATGTTGGAAAGTGGGATGAGCTTACTTTGCCTGAGAGTTTAACATATATATCAATTTTAGTTAAGTTATTTATTCTGAAATAACTTAAAAAAATTGTGCAATTATGTGGTTAAAATCTAATAAACTGATGGCTTGGGCAGAGCTCATAATGTGTCAAAAACACCTTTGATTAAGTTCAGTTAAATTAGTAAGTAGATAAAAGGTTGTCAGAAATTATAGTGTTTACTTCTTTATATATATATTCATTAAAGTTAATTAGTTAATATCTTGTTTTGTGCTTTTACTTTTCTTAATTCTGCAGCACTCGCGCCGATTAGTCCTAAACGCATCTTTGTCTTTATATCGCAGCAGTTGGAAACTTAACATTTCCGAGGTGTGTATGAACGCAGCATGACGCCGCCTGTGGTGGCTCATTACATTATCTGGCAACCGGAGTGGCAGCGGACAGAAGAGAGGGTATCCCCGGGATTTTTACACCGAAGCCAGCTAAGTACTACCACCAAACAACTGAAAATCGCGGGGGAACTCGATCAAGCTCCTCCTAGACTCCGTAAGTTCGCGGAACACAGTTCTGCTACCATATAATCCAATTCGGTAATTTATTTTTCAATTAAAATATGACGACGACGGAAGTTTCTCTATCGGTTTTAGCTCAGCTAGCGCAAGTTAAGCTAGCTAGCATAGCTTGATCTCAGCTAACGTGCAAGGTAACAGTTTGTGTGTCGCACAGCTACACACATACACCTACCGAGCACAGACTGCCAAGAACAAGCCCCAAAAGTAGAGGAATATTAACTAAACTTCCCCGGCAAACTTGTATTAGGATGCACCAATATTAGGATATAATGTAAGTTAGTCGTTTTATTCGCCTATAATGAAGCTATAAAACTCTGGGACGAAACCATCATTTTGTGTGTAATTAACGCTCGATTATTTGTGAATAAAATTAGCGACTGTCTGCCTGTGCAGACGAGTGACCAGGGAGTTAGCGTTAGCAGGCTAACTTAGCTCCCGAGCTAGCCTTGTAACACTAGCTGCTCACTGAGACGGGGTCGGTTTCATTGTCTGTCGTGTATCGCTATTTGGACGCGTACAGACATCCGAGCTAAATATCACACTCTGTATCATCATGTTTACCCGAGAATGGGCTGCAGTGTTCAGCGACTTTCCTCTAATCTCTGTAGCCGGTTTTAATCACAATGGGCTGTTAGCTCAGCGATAGTTAGCCGCTGGTTTTGTAGCCGGACAGATGGACAGGTTGTTGTTGGCAAGCCAAGTTAACGTTAGCATGCGATAGCTTGTTGTTGTTGATGGGTTAGTTGAAAAAAGGCAGCTTTTCCTTTGGGTAAAGTTGGGTCACCAAAGTTTATGAGTATTATAACCAGTATTGCCACCAGGTTTTGCTAAGCCTGCCGTTCCTTTTAATCGTGGATGGGCACGGTTATGGCTTTATGAGGCATTGATCTCAGAACTTTGTCAGATTAGCTCAACCGTGAAAAGCCTTTTTATGGAGGCGTAATGGTGGACGGTTGTGGCTCCGTCGGGGTGTGTGTGTCTGTGTGTCCACGACAGCTTAGCAGCTATCACCCACGCCAGACTATAGACGACTAAGCGCCTACTTTGTGCTTGTACCAGAATAGTAATGTTTCTATAACTCAGATTCACCACTTAATGTATGAAATGAGATGTCTAGGTCGAAAGGGAAGATCAACAACTAGTGCACCGTTCATGTCCTTTTGAAATCAGGCGTTTTAAAGGCATTCCTGTGATTTTTATTCATTTGATGCATTTCTTAATTATCAAACCTTTCAGTGTCTCAGATTTTTTTTTTTTTTTACGCAGCCACCTTATCTGTGAGCCATGGCTTATGTGATTTGAGTGGACAAGTCAGTTTTGTGTTCACCTGACTTTGAGGTGTGTCTCATAAGCTGGATGACGATGTTTATATCGCCATCTCTTCTGAGCAAATGCCCTCCTTTTAAAGCAAGCAGACAGTTGGCACCCTTGGCCAGTGATGGGGGACACGTGTCGCTTTGCATTTTATGATGGGCCTTGGATTTGCCTGAGGAGGGGTGCCTCTTATGAAAAACCTTCCTGAGAGTGATGTAACTAGACAAGCATGACTGGAGATCCTCTCTTATTCTGCTGCATCAGGACTCCAACCTTTAAAGATACATCTGTATTTTCCGCCAACCATTATTTTTAGTATTATTTTTTTGTGTGTGTGCTTTTGTCATTCTTAAAGCTCAAGGGTACCTTGCTCATCATGGCCGCTGTTGAGTTTATTGTGGTTGTATTAGCTTTGGAATTTGCAGGGTCTTACGTCTGGCATTTAATCTCACTGTAAACGTTTTTTTTTTTTTTTCAGTTTTTGCTGAGTTATGACTTGTGAAGTTCAGTTCTAATGCTGAACAGCTGCCAAGAAAGCAAAGCGTCACCTCACAAGTTTATGCATTTCTGTTCCTTTTTACCCCATCTAAACCGAAAAACTTAAGTTTACCATCACAATTTTACTTTTGAGTCACTGTTTATAGTGACTTTATGACTGTCATAGCGATATAAAAAACAAATCACACCTCTGTTACAGAACCTTGACCTAACAGTGAATCGTGAAATCAGAAACATTTTTCCCTTCTGACACATAATGTCCCTCTGATTCGTCGTTGTTTCTCCCCTGTTCTAATGAGTATCCACAATTTGTAGACCACACGCTGGGGATGTCTCTGTAGGGTTGTATGGCGTAGCTACTATTGCTTCCATCCATGTAAGCCTGGCTGAGGTGTTATCATACCAGCAGCTCAGTGTGGACACAGGTTAACACAGCTGTCAGACTCTGAGGCCAGCTGCTGTGAAAAGGTTAACAGGAAATGCTGGTGAAACCATCAAGTCTTACCAAAACGAACCTGCTTGCTGGTGTCGGTGTGGATAAGAGATGAGGGCCACGAGGGCTTGTACTAGATTGTAGGATTATCCCACAGTGATGTCACCAGGAAAAGATTGAGTGTAGGATTCTTAGCCTCATTTGCTCAGTGGTAATCACTTCTTGTTTCTCAAATGAGATGCAAAAATGAATAATGTTCCCACAAGTGTAAATCGATCTCTCGTTCTGTAGTAATGCTTCTCTGTGTGATCTTGCAAATTTCTTTTTGGGGCTGTTGAGTTGCATATCTTGCTTGATACAATAAGCCTATTACTGTGTGCTAAGTTTTCATAGAGGTTTGTCTGTGATGGGATTTTAAGGGTTACATTGGCTGAGATGTTGTTGTCAGCTGAACAGATTTGCATATTTGTATGATCTGATTGTCTTCATGCCATTTGAGAAGTTGCCTTTCTGGCAGTTTACGTAGTTGTTGCTTCAGATGCCAGAGGACAGGAGTAGACATATCGACCAGAGGTTCCCACCCAAAGGCCTTAGGCAATTCTTGGAGCTCGAGGAGAGAAATCCTCCAATGTTTGACTGTCTGAACCAATACTTGTTTACCCTGTTGGACTTCGTCAAGTATTTACAATGTCACCAACCTGTTTTAAACGGTTAAAGGTACAGTGTCTGAAGTGATGAGCTTGACATTGCATTTGATAAAGCTAACCACTTCAAATTTTAGCTCCACTGCCAGCAAACTCAGACTGGATATGCAACTCATATTATTGCAGTTGTCATTTTTTTTTTCTTTTTTTTAATTAAAGTGCTTAAGAAAGTCACAAATTAGTTGTTAAGGGAAATTAATTAATGTAGGAAAGATAACTGGCTGCAAGTGCTGTTCTTTATTTGTCATGCAGTATAAAAAAAAAAAAAAAGAAAAAAGTAAATATAACTAAAGGAGCATTTGTGTGTCTGTCTGTTCTTTGCGTTCCTTGGAAACTATTCATCTGATGTGCTTCACACTTGACGAGTGCATTCCTGCGGACCCAAGGAAATGCATTGTCACTTATCAGGAAATTTAGATGAGCCGTTTTTGAGGAACATTAAACAACAGTCGGTGACTACGTGAGGGCAGCTCGTCGGCCTTACTGATTACGACAACAGCGTCTCGCAAAATGGCCCAGTCAAAGCATGGGATTTCCCTGGAGAAATGGCTTCTGGTAAAAAATCCTCGCCCACCATCATCTCAAGTGTAGGAGGATTTTAGACAGTGACCAACATTGTGATGCTCTGTAAGCACAGCAAATTGGAAATGGCTCGTAACACCAGTACGACTGCTGTGCATGATCATTTACAGCATCTCAAAGCACTTTGTCTAGACAGACGCCACCATCCTCTTGTTGCAGTCTCAGAATTATTACAGTTATTTTATTGTTTTCAATGTCCCATGTTATTACAGAAATAAATTTGCCAGTGATTATCTTAACTACACATGACTCCAGTGATAAAAATGAATTTGTGTCATAACATTTTTAAGTTTGAAGTCAAGTCGAGATACTGAATCTCTGTAAGGGAAAGAGTTGCTGTGACATACAGTGAATAGATTTATCTTAGTATCCCAGCAATTCTCTCTCTGTAGGCCTGGATTTTTACCTAACGATGCGTCAACTAACATTAGTTTAATGTAGAAGTTTTGATATCTGTACACAGTCGTTGTTGAATGTAAAGAAATTTGGAGTGGTAATGACATTGCAAAGCTTTAAGCGGCACTACTGGAGGCCTACATGACGTGGTACTGCAATAGCGAGGTGAGGCGGTGAGGGAGACAAACTGAAGTGGGACTTTCTCAATATTCATTTTGCAATAGTTAATGAAGGTAAACAATGCACCAGACAAAAACAAAAACTCAGCAGGCCCAAGGAACACCAGGCCAGCTGCCACAGGTATTTAGTCAGGTATTGTGGGTTTAAAAATGTGTTCTTATCCCCACTTGACAAACATCAGTCATATATATAGAAGCTAGTATAGAATGCATGTCTAGCTCTGCTTCTTTTCAGTTTGTAGCTGTATGGCACAGTCACATTTACTCAAAAAATAGTTCAACATTTGCATTCACTGGTGGTTTCCTGGTGCTATGCTACAGACCTGCCTACCTGTCCTACCGGCCACTTCTACTACAAAACATCTTTGATTCTGGGATGAAGCACTAGCTAGCTTGGTTTTTGTGGGCAAGCGAATCCTGAACACTGACAGTAAGACACCCACCATTCACTTGGGTAATTTTAATGGCAGTGCAGTCATGCTTCTGTTTAGTCATGCTAACATATTTGCTTACAAGTGACAGCCCACATGACCAATGTTGCCTGGAATGGCATCTTATCTGATGTAAGCAAGACTAATTGTGCATTTACAGGTTATACACATATCTAAAGTTGTTTTCTTTCAGTCTGCGTGTAACAATTGCTTCCAGTGTGTGGCCAGTGCTGACATGGCATCTCTCGAACTGTCAGTGCAGCAAACAGGCAGACCGGTAACTTGGATACATGTAGCATCAAGGCATGGGTCCAAGAGGGGACAAATTGTCCTGGCTGTCTCCCTGCCACGTGGCTGATTTGTGCAGGTTGTGTATAAATGTGCAGGATTTCATCAGTGCACTTAATGCCTGATGGAAAAGTTGTCAAAACAAAGGT